TAGTGGTATCCGGTCTGTCTTTCCCTGATAGTATGTGAACTTCATGAGAGCAGTTACTGAATCTGAATTGTACACCTTCTAGAATCTTCTGTGGCACCGAGTAGATGCTGAATGTCTTATCCAGGCCCTCTCCCGCCACCCCAAGCTGAACTCTGCCTCAGACCAACACTTCAGGTCAGCCTGGGGAGGCAGAAGGCAGTGGGAATCCAGTCCTGGCTTACTCTGTAGCCCCCCCATGCCTGCTCTACTCTCTGCAGCATCCAGTCTCTGTCCACAACCTGCCCCCTGGCTTTATCCCTTCTCTCTCTGCCGTCTTCATAGAGTTTGCCACAAGATTTCTACCCTAGTCCCTCTACTCCTGGTTATCTGCTCTTGAGGACCTTAATGTGTCTCCAAACACTGCTTTCCGGAACACTTCTCATCTCAGAGCAAGATCTCCCTTCCCTTCCTGTCCCCCACCCCCATGATTCCTGCCATCAAAATCCCCCTCTGAGGCACAACTTCAACTCAGACCTCTGGCCCCTCACTGTCAGGAAAAGTATTTGCCCTATAAGTACTGCCCGTGGGTGCACTGCATGGACACACACGCCTAGAGTCCACTCTGGGCTCTCCCTACATCCCCCCCTTGACTCCACCCCTGGCCAGCTCCCTTCTATCTCCTTCCTCCCTCTTAAACCATCAAACTCTTGCAAAGAGCTGTCTACACGGGCTGTCTCCACGTCCTCACCTCCTGCTCACTTCTGAACCTACTCCAAACTGGCTCCTATTCTCACCAATTCATTCATTCATTCATTCATTCATTCAACAACTAACCATCTGTGTTGGGCACCACGTTCTGTAGGTGTTAAGGAAGTTTCTGGTGCTCACTGTCACCAGCATCCTCAATCTAATGGACACTCCTTTTAAAATTAGGCATTCTTCTTGATCTATGCCTGAACTCCTCAGAACGCATCTTCTTTACTCTCAGTAGGTGTTAGGGAAGTTTCTGGTGCTCACTGTCACCAGCATCCTCAATCTAATGGACACTCCTTTTTAAAATTAGTCATTCTTCTTGATCTATGCCTGAACTCCTCAGAACGCATCTTCTTTACTCTCAGCAGAAAGAAAAGAAACAGAAGACTCCCCTTCCTCTGGGATGTGCTCTCTCCTTGCTTTCTGTGACACCTCCCACTCCTGGCTCGACTCCCACCTCTCCAACTGCTCCTTCTCAGCCTCCTTTGCAGACTTCTCCGGCCTCAATTGTTGGAGTGCCTCAGGGCTCTGGACCAAAGCTGTTCTCTTGCACTCTCTCCTCCACATCAGGCTCACCTGGGTGCTTTCAAAATTTCTGATGCCCAGGCCTCAGCCTGGAGTCACATGAATTAGAACCTTGAGGGGAGGGAGTGGAGCCTGGGCATAGGTTTTTTTGTTTTGTTTTGTTTTTCAATTTTTATTTTATTTTATTTTACTTTTTATTTATTTATTATTTTTTTAAGGATTTTATTTATTTATTTGACAGACAGAGATCACAAGTAGGCAGAGAGGCAGGCAGAGAGAGAGAGGAGGAAGCAGGCTCCCTGGTGAGCAGAGAGCCCTATGTGGGGCTCGATCCCAGGACCCTGGGATCATGACCTGAGCTGAAGGCAGAGGCTTTAACCCGCTGAGCCACTCAGGCACCCCTTTATTTTACTTTTTAAAGGTTTTATTTATTTATTTGACAGAAAGACAGATCACAAGTAGGCAGAGAGGCAGGCAGAGAGAGAGGGGAAGCAGGCTCCCCATTGCGCAGAGAGCCCGATGCAGGGCTCGATCCCAGGACCCTGAGATCATGACCTGAGCCGAAGGCAGAGGCTTTAACCTACTGAGCCACCCAGGCGCCCCATAATTTTCAGTTTTTAAAAGCTGTCCAAGTGATGCTAATGTGGCCAGGCTTGAGGACCACTGGTCTGTACTCTTGCTGGACAATCTAGTTCACTGCCATGACTCCCATGGCCAGCATCTGCAGATGATTCCTAGTTTCCACCTCCAGCCCCGGTCTCCTGTCAAACACTGGACCCTCCCCTCCAACTGACCACTGCATGGTTGGATCTGTCTTTGGAAGTACTAACGGTTCCGCTCAGTACCCCGAAATATCTGTCACTTCTCCTTTGTTCTTTATCAAACTTACCAACCTAAACTTCACTCTCGCAGTGTGGTGGGGTGGTGGGGAATCTCATTTAATGAGCAATCAAAGTCAGGGATGGAAGAAGCAGCGCGTCTCTGAACAGAGAAGAAAGCTGGGATGCCACAGGTTCCACCACCTGTGGTGACCTGACTGTTCCTTTCCTTCAACCGAAAGACTTCTGATAGCACTCGTGGTCTGCATGGGCAGACCTGACACTTGGGCTCAAACCCAAGACCTGCTACTTAGTAGATGTGTGACAGTGAGCGAGTTAGTTCACCTTGTTGGGCCTTCAGTTTCGCCACCTGCAGTATTGTCATCAGTGGGGTCCCACCTCCCGGGCTGATGTAAGGATTCCTGAGATGAGCCTTATAAAGTGATTAGTGCTGTGCCTGGCTGACAGAAAGCACTCAGTGAATGTTAGCTATTTTTAGTACCATTACTGAGGATAAATTCCCAATTCCTGAGTATAGAGCTCACAAGGGCCCCCGTGACTGTGACCTTGGCTTTAGCTTCTACTCTTCCCTCCCTCACACCATGAGACCCAATGGGTCGCCGAAATAACAACGGCGTTTTTCACAAATCTGCACTGCTCATGCCGGTCCTGATGGCTAGACTGCAATTTCTCCATCTAGAAAACTCCTATTCATCCTTCAAAACCCATGAGGAAGGTTATTTTTGTTAGAGAGATACTCTTGACTCCTCTGGCCAAAGGTAATTATTCCTCTTTCAGGGGGGCAATGGGGTCACACTTCTGACAGTGCATACCCTTCCAATAACTTTCCCAAAGGTCAGTGGGAACTAGCCTCCTGTGAACAGAACAGAGATTGCCATTGACCACTGCCCCAGGATGTTTGTGGGACTCCCTTTTGGAATGGCTTGGGCACTAGCCTCTTCTCCACAACTCCCAGCTGTCTCTGGTGCTTCCCACCACTCCTGCGAGCTTGGTCTTCATACTGAGTGAGTCAATCCTGGAACTTTTCCAGAAGAGCTTTGATCACCAACCAGGGATGGGCCAAGCACCACAGAGGCGCCGCAGCTGCCCAGGCCACACAGGGCTGAATGCTCATTGTCGGCACCCCAGAGCCTGTTTCCTTTCTGCTCAGATCCTCTTCGGTCAGTCCTAGCTCATTTTGGTCCCCAGGAAGTAGTTCTCAAGGAATCTTCATCCTGAATGGTGCACCAAATCTACTGACTCTCTCTAGATGACCTTGGATAAGTCCTTGACCCACTCTTGGCCTCGGTTTTCTCCTGTCCAATGTGACAGTGATGGCAGAATTTGATTAAAAGTTCAGTGGGTCTCATTTCAGCACAGGGTGGGACATTCTAGCATCAAATCTGTGTTCCATGGTCTGGCTGTCCCCTGACCCTCCCCTCCTGATGCTCCTGTGACAGCAGCATGGTATGAGCTATCATCCTGTGCCACCCTCCTTCCGCCTTCCAGCTCCATTACCACCCACTCACGTGCACCTGCCCGATTCCAGCTGGGAGGAGTTGAGGGTGAGGAGATGGAGTTGAGGACAGCCGCAAGGGCCTGGGCTCCCAGTGGCCTGGGCCTCTGCTACTCGGGGTCCCTCTAGATCATGAGGGGCTTGGTGAGAATCTGCGAGAAGGCTGAGGTGCTGCCGCATGGTGGGGGTCATATGGTGTGTCTGTTCCCACCGCGCTGTTCAGGCTCACTGAGTAAGGTGACTAGGGTTTCAGTGGGAGGTGGGGAGACAGCTGGGGGGATGAAATGCCAGTCAAGGACCCTAAGAGGCGGCTCACCCTGCCCTCCTAGGACTGGTCTCAATGTTTTAAGGAGAGAAGATTGACTCCTGCCCCAACCTCAGCCATGGCTTCCTGATTCATCTGTGCCCTGGCCTCCAACAGGTGTTTGCAAGGCAGGCCTTTGGCCAGGGCCTTGTCCCCAGCATTTCCCCCACTACAGCTCTCTGCACCTCCAGCCTCCACAAGGCTAGGTACAACTGTTCCTCCCGTTCCTCCCCGTGCCACCAAAGACGATGGAATAACACAGAGGATGAAAGCCACCTCCCTCCCGTCAAGGCGAGTGGATCTGCCCGGGTAAGAGCGAGAACGAGCAGGGCAGAGAACTCTCTCCAATCCCAGCGCACAGAGATCTCCCTTGTTGAGAGCACAAGGAGATCTCTCCTCCTTCAAGGCGCTCAGAGACCAGATGCGGCCCCGTTAGGGCGTCAAAGGGCACAGAGATCTCTTCGGGCTCGAAGCTCGCAGAGATAGGACGCGTATTTAGATCTCTGCTCCCTCAGGGCGCAGAGATCTTTCCCATGTCAGGACAGGCAGCGATCCGGTCCCAAAGAAGACACCCCTAGAGGACCGCTCAGTGGGGCCCAGAGAAAGGGGGTGATTGGCTCCTTCCCCCATTCCCAGCCCTGCTCGGTCGGCTCCCCGGCTTTCTGGAACCACACTCACTGCGCGCCTAGTCGCCGCTCTGACCTTGGGGTCTCCGGCCTCGGGAATCCGGGTCCCAATCCCAGACCCTCCCCGAGCCTGCGCCAGGGTCGGCCGGGAAGCCGGGGCCGCAGCTCCTCCTCCCCGGGCCCTCGACAGCGCACCGGGAAACCCGGAAGGAAAGGGATGGGGAGGGGGCGCACGGCGATTACAGACGCCCCACATCCCCCGGGGGAATCCCTTCCAGCCCGGAGGATCTGCACCCTTTCTTCTCTCCCTCCCGCCTCGGGGGCAGCGATGGGGGAGGGAACTGCCGGGCGCACCCGGGGCAGGGGAGGGGGTGCGCAGGGGCCGGAGGCTCCTACCCTCGGGGAGGAAAGTTGGGCGGCTGCAGGCGGAGGGGGCTCCGGCCCGGCCGGTGCTCCCAGGCGCGGGGGCGCTCGCTCACCTGCTGGTCCCCCGGTCCTGGCCCCGGGATGGGCGGCTGAGGCTCGGCGCGGACTCGGCTTGGCGCGGGGCTCGGGGTACTGGGCGCAGGCTCAGCGGCCCCGGGGGCGCGATCCGCGCATCCTACGGGCGCCGCCGCCGTCTCGGCTCCGCCGCTCGGCTCGGGCTCCGGGGCTCGGCGGGCGGCGCGGGCTCGGGCTGGGGGCGGGGTCGGGGGCGGGCCCCGCCTGGGCTCGGCCTGGGGCTTGGGGCCCCCGGCTGGCTCCGCCCCAGAGCGACGCGCCCCGGACTCCGCACGTGGCGCTCCGCCGGCTCAGAGGGTGAACCCCTGGGCACCCGCCGGGGCGCACACCCCCACACTGACCCGGGGGCGCCCCGCCACAGACAGCCGCCCACGCGGGCACAGACAGACATACGCAGACGCGGGCACACGCTGGGGTACACACTCACCGACCCAGGGACGCTTCGCCACAGATAGCCACCCACGCGGACACGGACAGGCACGCATCCCGGCACACACGGGAGAATACACACAGGCATCCTCCCTGACCTGGGGACCTTACATTGGGGAACCAGCCCCCTGGACACGGACAGACCCTGATGCGGGCTCACTGACACACACAGACACCCATGCTGACATTCCCTGAGGCTGACAGACACACTCGACACACGCACACCTGCGCTGACACACAGACACCCACACGGACATAGGCAGACACATCATTGACACACACACTGAGGCAGACACACTCTGACAAACTCAGTGATACATGACTCAGAGACTCGTATCCCCTGACACAGAGGCACCCACTTACATGGGACCACATTCTGCTGGAGAAACACGGATAGTACACAATTCTGCACAATAGTAGACACTCGCACTCACACAGACCAGAAATAAGGGCACAACCAACAAATACAGAGACACGCACCCTGAAATGGACTCACACATATGCTCACATACATACACCTTGTTGGGACACATACAACCAACACCTTTACACACAGAGAAACGCTCAAACATGTGGATGCTGAGACAGACACTGCCTCTCACATAGGGACACAGACCAGTGACAAATTATCGCTCACATACCCAGGCTGACCCATAGGGAAACATGTCCAGGAACGCAGGTTTTTAAAACAAAATGGGCTACCAGATTTTCCCTACAGGCCAGTAACATAGTTGGAAGGGACGGTATGTTTTGCCCTGCACAGTGGCCACTGCTCACAGCTATCTTCTTTACTTTTCTGACACTTTCAAAGCCCCAAGATACAAAAATTGCTCTTGGAGGGCAAAATGGGGGCTGGTATCTCAGAAAGCTCCAAGGTGCTGGGTTGGAGATCTCAGAGACTGTGACCTGCCCTTCCACTGGGACTCTGGAGAGGTGATGATGAGTCCATTGTCCCTTTGAGACCTGGGTGTGGGGTTCCAGGTGTCACTGGGGGCCTTACACATACACTGAGGAGCTACCCGTGCTTTCAGGACAGCCAGTCCAGGGGAGGGGAATCGGTAAGAAAGTCCGTCTACAGGAGAGTCTTAAGACACAAGACGCTTTCGGGCCCTGGATTGGGTGGGATGGCTTCCTGGCCAGACAGATGAATCACAAAACAGCACGCCGGCCTGTAGCCCCTTGGCGGGCCTCAGGTTGGCCAGCATCTCCCACTAGCGGCTAGAGCGGGAAGTGCAGGCAGTGTCAACTTGGCAGCCCCCGGGCGCGCGGGACCGCCTTCCCTGACCGCCTTCCCTTGGTGCGAGGAGAGGGCTGTAGAAGGGGGTCCTCCCGAGGTTTTCCACTACCAGATTCTGGACCCCAGAATGAAAATTCAAACTTACAAATGGACATCGTGCCAAGCAGGAAACCAAGCTAGGACGGAGGCAGCTGGGGCCAGGGCGTGGGGGAAGGGATCTTAGCGAGCACCCTCGCTTCAGCAGAGTTGGAGTTCCCATTGTCTTCCTTAGCGTTGGACACTTGGATGTTGCCAGAGGGGTAGGTAGGCTAAGGCGTGACTCTACAGGCACCCCAGATGTAAACGAGGGGAGGGAAGCCCATGAGAAGGAGGAATCAGTTCTGAGCACGTGGAGATTCAGCTAACCCATCTGCTGGTCTGAGAGGCTGCAGGGGCAGGGAAAGGCTGGAAAGGGCCCCAGACCCCATTTAATTGAAGCAAGAACATACAGTCAGCAGTCCAGAACAATCAAAGTTTAAGTGAGGTGTTTTCCTTTATCTGCCCGCCCCTCTTCCAGTTCAAAGTTGGGTTGAGAACATTGTGTTTGCACATCCATTCACAATTCCTCTCTTGCATGACTTCCTTGTCTTTCTTCCCTTGGTCACCATCATCACTTCACTGTCATTCTCTGGCCCACACAGGCTCCCTCTGTAGGAGAAAAGGCAGGTCTTTAAATACGTACACATCTATGTAAATTGTGTAATATTGTTGTTTGCGCTTATGTGTTTTCTGTTTTTATTGCCCTGAGCTTTTCTTTCATAACTTTCACATGGAAAAGAGCACAGACCCTAGGTGTTCAGCTCAAGGGTTATCACTAGTTGAAAACCTCTATGTAGCCAGCACACAGATCAAGACACCAGGCACCACCAGCATCCCAGAAGCCCCCTCCACGACTTCTAACTCTCACAGCCGCTTCTCCTCCAGGGTTAACTACTATACTGGATTCCCTATGCTAGTTTTGCCTAGTTAATTTAATTTAAGAGAGAGGGAGCATGCACCAGGGGAGGGGCAGAGGGAGAGGGAGAAGCAGACTCCCCGGCCAGCAGGGAACCCAAGGTGGGTCTCAATCTCAGGACCCTGTATTCGTGACCTGAGCCGAAGGCAGACGCATAACTGAGCCACCCTGGCACCACAGTTTTGCCTAGATTTGATATTTTCAAAAATGGAATCATTGAGTAGAAACTCTTGTATCTGGCTTCTTTCGAACAAATTTAAGTTTGTGAGATCCATCCATATTGCTATTTGTTCTCATTGCTTTTTGGAATTTCATCATGTGAATATACCACAATTTATTTCCCCATTCTAGTGCAGATGGGTGTCCGGTAGTTTCTAATGTGGGGTTCCCACATATAGCACTGCTATGAGCATTGTAGTGTATGAATTTTGGGGAGCGTATGTGTGCATTTCTGAGAGAGAGTTGCTGGGGGAGAGTGTTTTTGCTTTTAGTAGACACTGCCAAAGAGTCTTCCAAAGTGGTTCTACCAATATATACTCCATCAGCTGTGACTGTATGAGAGTTCTGGTTTATCCTCCAGCATCCTCCAGTATTTGGTATTTTTATCTTTTTCATTTTAGCCACTGGAGTGGGTGTGCAGAGGTTTTACATTGTGGTTTTAATTGGCATTTTCCTGATGACTAATGAAATTGGGCACTTTTTCATGGTTTATTGGCCATTTGTGTATATGTGCTTTTCATTTATATAAATGGCTATTGTTCTAACTTCCATTCTTTTTCTTGTGTTTCTCCCCTAACACTCTGCTTTGGAGCTCTAGCCACATTTCGGTGTGGGCAGTCAGTTCTTCGCTTCTGACAGCTGCCGTGTGTTCTCTGTTAGGCACCCACCACGCTTTATTTATCCATTCCCCTAGAGAGGGATGACAGGTAGGGTAGGAGATGGTAATCGGTGGGAAGAGCGGTAACTAGCTCGTGTTTCTCTTGTTTTCACTCTGCTCATGCCTGGGGTCCCGGGAGGTAAAGATGCAAACTGATCTGGGGTTCAGAACCCACAAACGCTCAGGACTAGGCATCTTGGAAGGCAGAAGTACAGGTTGGGGCTGAAAGCAGGAGGCCTGGTGGAACGCTTACACAGAAGCCAGGAAGACCCCGAGAGGTGTCTCTCTGTCCTCCCAGCCGGGGGCTGGTCCCCCTCCCCCATCAGTGGCTAACTATCTCTGACTCTGGGAAGGGGCATCTGGTAGGAGTGAGGGGCTTTATTGAGAGTAGTGGGATCTAGTAGGACCCTGGTTCCCTATCCCTGCTAGGTGCTGGACCTCTGGCAAAAGATGGGGGAATTCCACACTGAGAAAATGACCAGCCTGAGAGAAAAGACCTTGGATCCTGGGCACCCAACCACCCTCCCTCTAAAGCCTCCCTATCAAGGAGTGCCGCTTGCTCCACATTCATCCCCACACTTTCTCCTTGCCTGGCTCTCCCAGGAAGGCCGTACAAGGTAAGTACCTGCCTTCTCATGTCCCCTGTGCCTAGTGCTGGCCACATGACTGGACACTGGCCACGAGTCCGGAGCACAGTTTGCCTGGGGTGGGATGGTTTCTGGGAGAGCATGTGCTTTCTTGATAAAAGGACAGGAGCAGCTAGAAGAGCTTTCTTCTCCTTATTCCTGCCTTGAACGAGACCATCATGCTGGGAGCTGACAAAATCATTGCACAAACATGGAGGTAAGGCCAGGAGATTTGCAGATGTTGGCCGCCAAGGACAGTCAACTGTAAGCCAGCACCTTCATGCTTCTCTTCCACTCTGCGTGTGAATGAGTGAGACTGACTCTTTGAAGTTGGAACCGGATTGTGTCTGCTGGGGAGGGATCTGGAAGCCCAGATGCTCTCAGTACAGGCTGTTGCCCAGCCCTCTTGTTTTTAGCTGCACCCCTCCTCCCCATTTCCAAAGGTATCCCCAGTGCCCGTGCCTGTGCAAGAGTCCCAGAAACTTGCTAGAACTTCAAGGGGGAACGAGGGTGTCCTTTGTTTTCCTTTGGCACCTCTCCCTCTGCGAGCACTTTGAGCTCAGCCTTCCAGCTCTGCCAAGTCATTTGATGTTCCAATTTCCAAAAAGTTCTGGTTGACACCATTGTTTCTTCCTCTTCCACGTTTTTTGTTTTTGTGATGTTTATGCCTTTTTAAACTATTGCATTGCCATTTTCATGGCAGTGCAAGAGCTATTTCACTCCGCTGTATTTTGAAGGCAGTCCTCCATTTCAGTTCCCACCCCAGATGATTGTAAGGAGTGATCAGAGGTTACCCCTGTGTGTTGCTGGGGCTCTCCTCAGAAGAGATTTTGCTTTATTCTGGAGCTCGAGCAGTTGAGACCTTCTATCTTAGGAGGGGCAGAGAAAAAGAGAAATGTATTCACTGTCAAGGACGTGTTTCCATGGGGATGGTGACCTGATCCCTCCTATTCCTAAATGATGAACAGGCTACCTTTTT